CGCGGCCAGGTGAGGCGCCCCGCCCCTCGGCGGCTCCAGGTGCGGCCGCGGGCCGTCAGAGTTGGGGCAAGGGCCAGGCGGGGCAGCCAGGGCCGACGGCCGCGACGCTATGGCCGCGTCCCAGCTGAGCTGCCTGGACGAGGCGCACGTGAACGAGAAGGTGACCGAGGCGCAGGCCGCCTTCTATTACTGCGAGCGGCGACGGGCCGCGCTGGAGGCTCTGCTGCGCGACGGCGAGCCGGCCTACCGCGAGCGGGTCCAAAAGGAGCGGCTGCGCAACTTCCTCTCCAGCCAGGAGCGCCAGGCCCTCCGCGCCGCCTGGAGCCCCTACGAGGACACCACCATCCCCGCGCGGGGCAAGAGCAAAGCCAAGCCCAAGGGCCCCGCACCCGCCCCTGCCGAGCCCTCCGAGTCGCTGGCCTACTGGCCAGACCGCTCCGACACCGAGGTGCCCCCGCTGGACCTAGGCTGGACTGACAATGGCTTCTTCCGCGGCGTGAGCCGTGTCACCCTCTTCACCCATCCCCCCAAGGAAGAGAAGGCACCACACCTCAAGCAGGTGGTCAGACAGATGATCCAACAGGCCCAGAAGGTAGGCCCGGCCCTGCGCCTTGTACCTGTGGAATCCCACCCCCAGCCTCTTGGACCTCGCCTCCCGGGGAGGGCCTGGCACAAGCCGCCCTGGCCACTGTCCGGAGAGTGGTCTCCGACGCGCCATAACCTCGTGGGCCTGTGGCGAGCTCTCTAGAGAGATGGATGTGAACGTCTTTGGCAAATCACAAAGTGCTGCCCCAAGTTAGTCACTGTTATTACTGTCCAGAGGCGCTGGCTTTCTGTACTCTGTGTTTCTCTGACTTTGTCCTGCCAGTCCCTCTTCCCAAGGCCCTGTGACAAATGGGCCACTTTACAAGTCTTTTGGTCACTATGCACAACGCAGAGGTTTGCAAACTGTATCCCTGGCCATTACCTCATTCGATCTTTAAAACAACTGGTGAGGGTGACCTCCCCATCGCTGCCCTCACCCAGCTGTGCTCTTGGGAAGCCCCCACCCAGACAAAGCCGACCTGGGGCCCTCATATACACTCCCCTCCTGGGCGCAGCACTGGCGCTGAAGCAGCCAGAAGTGAATGAGGGAAGCTATTTTGAGTACCCGCTGTGGTCTGGCAAGGTTCTGGGCGTTCTGACAAGGCAGGCTCTGGACTCTGCAGCTCAGGAAAAAGCTCCTGCTTAGCCCATCTGCTCGAGCTGTTGAAAGGAGATAGGAGGCTGGTTGGTTGTGGATGGGGCGAGGAACGGGGGGACCTTCAATCTTTTCTCTGTGTTCTGAGTAGGAGGGGAGTGTTTGATAAGATGTAGGATATCCCATGACATTTGAACTTGAAATAAATAACCAGTAAGGTTTTTTTGCTATCAGTTTATCCCAACTATTGCGGGGGACATACTGGAACTGAAATTATTCATCACTTAGTAAATTCAAATTTAATTGGATAGCCTACTTTTTATTTGCTAAATCTAGCTCCCCTCCACTGAGATTTGTTAAGAAACACAGGCAGCCTTTGGTGCCCTGTTCATAATATGCAGCAGGAGGGACTGGGCTCACCCCTGTAACCGGCCTCTGAGCATGTGACCCAAGGCCCGATTACTTTGGAGGAACTAGGCCTAAAGAGGAACCAGGAAGCTGGGAAAACCACTGGTGGAGCTCTTCCTGGAAGGGGTAACCTGGGTGGCCTTGGAGGAAGGGTTAATTTTTCACTGTGGGTATTTCCACCCTCCTGCTCTAAGTTATTGTTTCCTGCCTGACTGAACTTCCTTTGTATATTGCATTCTGCAGGAGAAAAAGGCAGGATTGAGCACAGAGCAGGGGAAAAGAAAGTGGGTGGCAATGCTGGGCAGCAAGCCGCAGCTGAGGTCAGGGGTCAGGTCTCGTGATGTCATCCTAACAAAGGCTCAACTTATTTAGCCCTTATTATGTGCTACTTGCTGTGCTAATGATTTAACCTACATTTTTTGTGCTTTTCACAACCACTGGGAAAAATAAATTTTTTTCCTTATTAGGAAAAAGAGAAATCAGGATTCAGGACAGTTAGGTTTCTTGTGTAAGGTTACATAGCTAGTGAGTGGCTGAGCCAGGACCCAAACTCCAAAGCCTTTCCTCTTAACACTGCACTACCCCGCCCCACTGTCCAAAGTAATGGTGCAGTAGAGTTTGGATGGAGCCAGTCTGCTCACATTCTAGGGCACAGGTTGTATATCCTGTTACAAGAAGGGAGAGACAAGGCCGCTGGCCACTGGGGCTCCTAGTTCCACATGGGATGGCAGAACTCTCCTGCTCAGGGGGGTTTTCTCAACTCTTTAAATATTTACAACAGAAACATTAATAGTTGTGAATCAATCCCACAAGTACTGATTTTAAGCAGTAGTTATTTCCGGAGTGTCTGCCAGGCACTACCTATAAAGAAGATCCAAGTTGGGGCCTTTGCCCTCCAAGAGTTTACTCAAATGCTGGGGATCTGCTGGAGGAAAGTGGGGTTTTGAGGCTGGATGTGCATCCTGGCAAGCCTCCCTGAGGGAGGTGAGTTGCAGAACTGGGAAGGGGAGAGAGAATTAAAGTAGGCATTCTCTCAGTGAGACTCTGGGCCCAGAGCAGGATTTATATTTATATTTATTTGTATTTTCTCTCACCAAAAAAATGCAAGGAGGTTTGATTGGCAGGAGAAAGCTACCATAGCAGGATCTGAGAACTGTGTGGGGCCTGGGGTGAGGGTCCTTCAACCAGATCTCCAGGCAGGAGACTGTAACCCTAGAAGCAGGAGCTGTTGACCCTGTCTGTACTCAGCCAACTGCCAGGCCTTCTGGACCCCTCCCCTTAATGATCACTGTCCCTCGTGTCTGTACAGCACCACATCACAGGTAAGGAAACTGAGGTAGCGAGAAGGAAATGGGCTTGCCAAAGGTCACATGGCCAGTTATAGAAAGACCAAGGTGTCTAACCTGTGTTCCGAAGGCTGCACCTCCCTAAGGGGCTGATCTCCACCCCTACCCCAGTTTGTCCAGTTTGCAAGCAACCTTCACTCGCTTCTTCCTTCCTCTGCACCCTGAGGGAAGCATAGGAAGTTTCATTTGCTTCCTGGGTAAATCTGCCTGGAGGCTGGATGGGGCAGATTGTGAGAAAGTTTCTTTGGCTTCCTGGGTGAGTCTGACTGCCTAGAGCCTGGGTGGGACAGATTTGTACCTTGGGGTCACCCTGGAGGGCAGTCAGAAGAACTTGGACATGTCCAACTGTGTGCCAGAGAGATTTAGTTTTGTTTCTTGATCCTTAAAATAATTTTCAAAGGTAAAGTAATTTTTGTTCTCAAATAATAAACAGGAAATTAAGGTTGAGAGGGAGTTACCATGACTTGCCCAAGGTCACAGGTCAGTGAGGGGTTTCTTCCCTGGTCCTGCAGGAGAGGCAGCTAGGAGCCTAATTAGGGGGCACTTTGAAAATGATTGGGGCTCTGCTCGGGAGAAGGGCAGGTGTGGAAATAGGCCTGTGGATGGGAGGGAGGCCTTTGAGGAAGTTAGTCCAGGCCTCTGCAAAAGTCAGAGCCCCCTTCCCAAGCTGTACAAGATAACCAGGCTTCAGAGATTCAGCTGTGTTTACTTGCAGAGAGGAGGTCCCCCGTCTACCCTTGAGAGATCTGCTTATTTTAGTATCAACAAATGATGTCCTTTGTCTGCTTAAACTGTAGGTAGAAAGGGTGCCTTTAAGGACTCAGAAATGAGCCCCTGGCTGATGCCATGCTAGCAAAGAAGACCAGGGCAAGTCACCAACACTTGGGCAGCTCAGATCACTATAATTGCCCAGCAGTACTTTATAGCAAGACCGTGCGCACGCTGGGAAACTCTTGGTTCTTTTTTTGCAAAGCCAGAGCAAGAGGAACAAACACTGGCAATCCTGACAGGCTGGCAACTTGCATCTGTTTGGTCATTGGGCAAAATTTGGAGGTCTGTTGTGTGACAAGCATACATTAATATAAAAAAGATGTGAAGCATGCCTCTTAAGTGGCCTCATAGTCTGCTAATGTGGCATTACAGTTTAATATGACAAGTCCTTGACGTGGGGAGTGGCAGGAGGGGCACTAGCCTTACCCAGAAGGCTCTTTGATGCTGAGGGCCTGTTTGCAGACATGTCTGAACAAAACAGGGAGGATGAGATGGCACCAAACAACCCGCTGCTCCTCTTACCCAGGCTCCCTTGTGACCAGGGGCACGCACTTTTAAGGCTGCTGAGTAGGTGTTGCAGAAAACACTGACTCTCACCTCAAAGATTGTTCCTTGGCCTCACATTCCTGGGTCCAAACCCAAATACACCAGGTAACCAGCTAGCTCTTTGCAATCTGCCTAGTTTTCTTGGTGCTTCAGTAACTGTACGGCAGGTATTGTCTTTATTCCGCAGAGAGCCCTCTGAGTCCAAAAGGATAGAGTGATATCTTTAGACCAAGGACGAGGAGGTCACACAGGCTCCTCAGGTCCTAAGTCAGGATTGCCGGGGACCCTGTGCAGATGACAAGCACAGCCTGGGAGAGGAAGGCTGCTGTCGTTGGTAGCTGTCATGGGCTAGGTACCACTCCTCTTCTGTCTCTTTCCATCCTGTCTTGTGGAAGGTAGTGGAACAGGCCTGCCTAGTTGCTGGAGAAAGGGGAAGGGCAAGGAACTAGGCCAGTCCTGTCCCTATCTATGCTGCCTATTGAGTTTGTCCTTTCTCTTCCAGGCCTTGGCTGAGTGGCCACTTCTTCCTGGGCATCTTATCAGATTTCAGATCCAAAAGTTCCACACCGCTTACTCTAACAGAGCCCATCTTACCCTCCTACGCTGTGAGCTTTGGCAGAGCAGAAACTTACCCCTCTCGGTCACCTTTGCAGGGCTGTGCGCCGTCTTCTATAGCTGGTGGTCAAGAACTCCTTTAAAGAACTGAGAACCCTTCCACAGTTCATGCAGGGAAGAAGTGTCTGGAGCCTTCCCTGCTGAACTGCCCGTTACCCCAGGGGGCTTCTTTAGTACAAAGGATACCTGGCAGCAGAGAGAAGGATGCTCTGAATTGTAGGGATAGAGTAGAGGGACATGGAAGGAGGGGGCAGAAGGATTTAGAGAAGGCTCCAGGAAAGGCAGTGTGAGGTCAGGGCAGCTGATAGGAGGGAGCAGTGAACTGCTGGGATGCAAGTACCCAGGGGGTGCAATAAAGTCTTGGAGTCACCAATTCATGTCACCAGGAAACAGCTTTGCAGATGGCATCCTTTGCCCGGAGTAGAGCCCACAGTCTCCCTAGGAGCTTTAGTTGGTATTTTCCTCATTTAATTACATCCAGCAAATAGTACCAAGCACCATCTCTATAGCAGGTATTGTGCTGGGGACTGATATATAGCAATAGAGTAGATGCCTTCCAAATAACCAGTTTTCATAGATATTTTTTTTTTTAAAGTCATATTGGTTTATGAAATCTGAGAGTCAGAGAATATGCTTTTTAGCTCCATTTTTGAGAGCTGGTCCTAGCTCCTTCTCCTGATATCTCCTACCTCCCTCCTTTCCTATTCCTCTGCCCTTTCATCTCAG